TGGCTTGCTTTCTGCGCGGGTTTTGGGTGCACCCAGGGGCGCGTTACCCATCTGGCCATGGCTTGCTTTCTGCTTGGGTTTTGGGTGCACCTAGGGGTGCGTTACCCATCTGGCCATGGCTTGCTTTCTGCTCGGGTTTTGGGTGCACCCAGGGGTGCGTTACCGTGATCTCTCCCCTCTCGTACGGTCACGTTTCCCCAGAGCGATTCCTCGTCCGCTCGCCCTGCTCTCCGCTTTTTGGCCTGCCCTTTGGCACACCCACCTCTGGGTTCGCAGCAGCCTCACGGACTCGACAGCGCAGCACCCCCAGTACCATTCCCCTCTTAAACAGCGGGAGTCCCGCCCGCCCGCGGGCAGGGGGCAGAGCTGGTCTGGGTACGAACTGCACGCTCGGGCCCTGCTTGAGGATGTGGCTGAGCAACTCGTGTGCTCTTCCCAGAATCGACGAGGTTCCTCTCGGAGAGGGAGACATCGGGACCTTGTGCCTTCACCTCTCCATGAAACCGGGCGAATACTCCTACTTCAGTCCCCGCACTCTGTCAATGTGGGCTGGCCCGGAGCACTGGCGTTTCAGACCTCGACACAAATGTACGTACTTAGAGACAGCGGCTCGCACGCGGCTGCTGCCAGGTCCTGCTTCCCTTTGGAGATGGGTGGCATCTGAATCCTAAAGGGGGGACAGTAAAGAAGGGGACAAGCCCACGTGGCTCTTTTCCAGCCAGGTGGGAAGCAGGACTGAGTTCAGAGGCCGGGAAGGCTCCGTCACGTGCGGATCCTTTGGTGTCTTAACGCTTTGTTGTTGGGTTTGTTAATGACGCCCAGAGGTGAGGGGGTGTCTCTCACTGCAGCAAGAGGAGGTACTAGCACTAATACAGCTCCTGCTGTTGTTTCCCACCTGAAGATTAAATGACACTTTCTGCTTCTATGAAAAGGTTCCGATCCCTTTAAAACACGAAGCCAAGAACAACTCCTATCCTTTTCCCAAAACAGAGGGAAAAGTCCTTGTAGGTGACCTTTCTGCATGGAGCAGATGCTCGAGTTAGGAGGGAGCTTGTTGGCCTTTCTCTGTCGCAGAGCACTGACAGTTTCCTTCCTTTCTGCAGCAGAAGCTGACTCTGGAAAAGAGACCAAGAAAAGGAATGCAAAGAAAGCGTTTGAAGTGAACTTTGATGAGGATGTTGACTTTGAGGTGCATTTCCGTAAGACCAAGGTACGTGCTGAGTTCCTGCCTCTTTCTCTTCTGCTGATCTCAGTGCGTCTTGGAACCGTCTCCTGCAGATGGCTCATCTCATGCTCCTGTGAAACTGGCCCTGTCAACCCAACATCACGTCTGTTCCTTGGTGCAGGGTCTTTGGACTACAAGTAGAGAATTTGACTGACCTTGGGGTGGAGAATCAGCCTGGATTCTTCCTGGTTTATACCCTGTCAGTCAAAGAGACCCTGCAGGTCCAGCCGTGTGTCCCAGGGTGCTGCGCAGAAGCCACCGGGTGCACTGACTGGACCGGTGTGGAACTCCTCTTTGGAGGCATCTCAGAACTTGCCCCCTTTCAGACAAAGACCGGCGCTCAAAGCCCTTATTTGTGCACTAATCTTCCAAGTAGTGGGTAGCTCATGGGTAATGGTATTCATTACCTTCCCCAGGCATCTGTAACTCTAGCCAAATCCATTCTGGAAAGCCAGAATGTGAAGAGCACCACACTTCCCACAGACTTCAACTATGACCCTGCCAACATTCTCCAGCTGTTCCTCAAACCAGCTGTCAAGGTAAGAGTCTTCTCTAAAAGCTTGGTGGCCACCGTTCCCTGCGCAAACCCGCTCTTCGCCAAATGCTTGAAGTGCTTCAGGATGCTCCTCGGGGCCAGCAGGTCTCTCGCTGAACTAACCCGCTTGTGGCTGTTGTGCTTTACAAGGGGCTTGCTAGAGGGCTGGGGTGCGAGGAGGAGGAAGGACCAGCAGGCTGGGAAAAAGGAGAGGTGATGAAGGAACAAGGCTTGGAGAAGTATTTAAGAGTTGTGCCTTTCCTGACCCCTGGTCTTCTGGCCCTAGTTCTACAGGACGTCTGAGCCACGCAGCTCCTTGGATCACGAAGATGAGATCGGCGAGTACGATTACAACAACCCCAACGACACCTCCAATTTCTGCCCTGCGCTGCAGGTAACTGAAACGAGAAGGTTTCTCCCTGTTGCCCATGTTTGATATGTGATGAGAAGAATTTAGGAAGCCTCTGTGCCCAGAATTAATTACTAGTGGAAAAGAATTGGAGCTGCAGATCATGACAGAGCTGCGGGAGCCTCTGCACACAGACAGCCCTGTCCCCTCACTCTTGACGGCATCAACTAAACTCTCTGCCTTTGGTGTTTGCCACTCAGTTTGCTGCAGAAACTCCCTTCCAGCCTTTTCCATGCACCTGTGCCCTAAAGTAGGAGTAAATGCTGTTGCTCACCTCTTCAGTCATCTCTGGTTTGCTCTTAGCTGCTTTGGGCTCCCCTTGAAGTAGATTTCTTCCAAAACTGCAGCTTTCTGCCAGGCCAGTGCTGCCTCCCGAGTGTGTCTGTGACAAGTCTCGGCCAGTCCCACACTGCCAGGAGAGCCTTCGTCTCTGCTGTCTGTAGGACAGTCAGGTTTGATAGTCTGAGCTCTAGATCTCCCTTGGGTTCAGCCTTAGCCCAGCCCGAGCGCCGTGGGGAGAGGCTGAATAAAAACATGTTCCACGGGGAAGGTGGGCAGGTATCGCCACCCTCCTGAGAGGTGGGCGCTCCTGTTACCTCAGGACATCTCTGGCTCCTCAAAGATGTCTCTGGGTGGCCTCACTGCTGTATTCCATCCCCATCAGGCTGCCGACAGCGATGACGACAACGACCCCGTTCAACTCGTGGGCCAGACAGGGGAGTTCAACCTTACCGCCCACCCTGAGGGTCGAGACCCCGAGCTCCACGGGGTCATCGATGATGTCAATATCACAACGTATGGCGAGCTGAACCTCATTGCTGAGCCCCAGAAGGTAAGGGCTCGCCTCGGTGCCGAGCTGCGAGCTGCTCCCTGGGCAGGTCTGGAGCGAAGCCTCTCGACACCTCGTGTGGTTAGAAGTCCCGAGACAGCAGCTTCCCTGCTGTGGGATCTCCTGGGTTTGCTGCTGGGCACTTGATTCCCAGATGGACCCTTGTGTAAGAGGAGGGAATTAAAGGTGTAGTGGTAAGGTAGCATTGCCCCTTGTTCCCAAGGAGAATCGTGTTCCTGGGGTCCTGATCGAGGACAGCGCTGCTGCTGCGCAGTTGCTCTCAACTAACCCTGGACTTCTTTTCCTCAGGTCAATAAGATCGTGATTCAGTATGCAAAGACAGCCAAGAAAATGGACATGAAGAGGTTGAAGAAAAACATGTGGGACCTCTTGACTGATGATGGACAGAAGAAAGAAACAGTGGCAGAGGTGAGCGCAGGGGGAGCCAGATACCTCAGTAGGCCCGAGGGTGAGAGAATGCCCCGCAGGTAATTGCGCTTAACCCCTGCTGAGACAGTCCTGGGCAGGTTTAGCAGCAATTCCTTGCTCCCCTGGGGTGGTTGGTGAGGACAAAGTGAGCGTAACTTGCGGTGATTTTTCCTCTGAACACTGGGGAGCAAAGTCTGTCTCAGCAGCGTCTGTCTTTTTGCTGACTAGATGGAAGATGCAGAGAAAGCGGAGGACACTTCAGTGGTAGCAGGAGAGAAGGTCTTCAGCAGCATCACAAAGGAACTGCTTCACAGGTAGAGAGGCCCTCAAAAAGGTTGGACTGAGGCTGGGGACAGGCTTCAGCTGAGCTCGGGCAAACGCTGACCCCTCTGTGTCTATTCCAACCTGCCAACTGGACCCTGATGGGGAAAAAATTCAAATCTTTTCTCTCCCTCTCTGGGTTTGCCTGGGGGAGTTATGGGTTGCTTTCAGCTTGGCAAATTCTTCACTAGCAGGAGGGGAAAGGTAGAGAAAACCCAGTCCCCGGGGAGGAGCTCATCTTCGGCGAGCTGGTCCTCGCAGGCGCGCTCCACCCCTCGGGTCGCAGCGGGCTCTGGCCATCCTGACCTCCTCCCTTCTCTTTGGTAGGCTGCCTTCTGTGATGGCTACCAACCTCTCTGTCCCCTTAGCCTTCGCCTGCCTCTTGCATTTGGCCAACGAGAAGGTAAGCGCGGCGGGCACGGGGAGGAGCAGCGGGCGAAACGTGCGGTGAAAAGCACCGGGAGCCGGGCCGTTCTCTTGCCGCACCGGGACTTCCCGACTTAAATCCTGGTGTCGGGCTGACAGCGACCATGAATCAAGCCAACGTGCTGGGAAGGACAGCCCCTGGTGAAGCCCTCGTAGCCTTTCCAGCCTGCCTGCTGTCTGTCCTTCCTTGTCCTTGGGTCTGGCAGCAGAGCAGCGAGCACCTTGGTGCTCGGGGGTGTTCTAAGCCTCGTCAGGCTCCGAAGCAGCAGCCGATGGGAAGCCTTGGGCTTGCGTGCCCTGGTGGTGACAGAGAGAGCTGGGGTTTTTTTTTTTGGGGGGGGGGTTTCTTCCAGGCCTTCAGCCTCGGAGGGGAAGAGTCTGGCTTTGTCAAACTTACCTTTTCTTTTCTGTTCCCAGAATCTGAAGCTGGAGGGCACAGAGGACCTGTCTGATGTCCTCGTGAAACAAGGCGACTGAGCCCTGGGCCGAGCACGCCACCAGGCCTGCCCCAGCCGACCAGCGCTCGCTCTGGACTGTCTCACCAGTGGCAGATTTTTTTTTTTTTTCCTCCTCCCAGCACCGTCGCTGAGAAATCCCACTGGTCTCTGCACCTCAGGAAGACCTTGTAAATCAAGGATATCCCACCTAAACCGAAGACCTGTACAGAGGGACGGTTGCAGCTCAGCCTGCCTGGCTCCTGCCATCTTTGATCCTTCAGGTCTTTCCGTGGTCTTGTGTAGTGGAGTTCCTCCATCTCACTGTGAACCTCCAGTGCCTGCTAGCTCCTCTGTGTGTCGCTCACTGTCTGTCTGTAATTCCCAGTATGTGGACTGACTGCTACTCATGTCTCCGGTTCCTCCTGTAGTCCTGTTCACCCCGTGAAATGATTTACCTTTTATACTGAGCTTAAAGACAATAAATTGCCACAGACTTTGTAGATGGGCCTTTGAGATGGGGAAGAAGGAGACTCCAAAACAGGTGAGAGTTTAAAATAACACGAGTGTCGGGGAGCAGCAAGAGCAGGGCAGCTCCCTGAAGAAAGGTGAGCCAGGAGTCATGGGGGAAAAAAAAAAAAATCACACGGCCAGAGCGTCACCAGCCAGGACCCAGTCCTCCAGTACCTGAACGATGTGAGCAGGACCAACCTGGAGATGGGGGCCAGGTTCAACCAAGAGTTGAGATCACCAGGCAAGGTCATGGTGCTGAGGCAGGTCTGAGATCAAGCAGGGAAAGTCAGGCTGCAGGTCAGGATTGGGTCTGAAGCCAAGAGATGGGGGAGACCAGCGCTCCCAGTGCAGCTCCTGAAGCCCTTCAGCTGAGCTTCCACGGAGCTCCTGGGCCACGGGTGTGGGTCAAGGCCCCTGGTGAGGCTGCTCAAGGCCATCAGGGCTTTTTAGTGTCCTCAGGACCCAGCGAGGGGGGTGGAGAGCAGCTCCGTGCAGGGTGGTGGAGCCTAGACCCGGCTCCAGTGCTGGCCCTCTGCTGCCAGCTCTGCCCCCGAGAGCTGGGCTGAGGGGGGCAGGCTGGGGGCCCGGGACGCGCTGGTGGGGCGCAAGATGAGAGGGTTTGGGTTTTTTTTTTTTAAATAAAAGTCACAAACAGGGACTTTCTTCAAGAAAGGATGTATTTCCCTGAGTTGCAATTCAGCTGAGGGGAGAGCCGCACGGGAAGCGCCAGCCGCCCCCCCGTATCCACAGCTTCGAGA